GAAAGACCTCTAAAAAGTAAAAGAACGGTTCAAAGTATGCGTCAAATACATTGACTCTAATTAGCTTGCAAACTTAAGCTATGACACCAACTCTTCTTTGTAAAGATCCCCTCAGGATTTCCTTTCTTCCAGCGTTCAACTTATTTTTTCCATAAACATTTGATTAGTAGTATTTTTTACATAATTTCGCCTGCAAATCGTTAAAGCAGATGTGACAGTTTAGGTTTATGAGAGAGTCAAGGCAATGGGAAACTTCGAAATTGTGATCTGCGATTTGGTTCATCCAAATTTCTATCATCTCGATACATGCTTCGCTCCTGTCGATGAGACCACTGCACTCTGGTATCCACCAGCATTTTCAGAGACCACAAAAAAAGAGGTGTTGTTCGTTCTTTTCGTTTTATGGTGTCTCAAAGTGTTTGTTGCAGATTTTGCGAAGAATGCCTCATGCAATAGCTATCTCCGATGCCGAGGCCAAGGCCTTTGTGTGCAATGCGATTACAATACGAAACACTGTGATCTCACCCATTGGCGTCTCTGAGGCAACTCGAGAAGCACTTAGTAAGCGAGGCAAGTCGGTTGTGGAGGTGGATATGAGCGAATTCATGAAAAGTGGAGGCGGCTGCCAATGTCTTGTGCTTCGACTATAATTAAGCCTTCAGTGATAGATAGTAAAGTTTTTATTCTTGCCTTGAGTAATTTAAATTTTAAACTAGCACTTGTAATAGTCATCAAAACTTTCAACTGGTGTCATAAAAGAAATGGGTGGATGCAATCACCAAAAGTCTGGAACTTGTTTCATCTGGCTCGTGAACCTACGGCGAGTTGTGAGAGTCCAGCCGACTTGCTTACAAAAGAAATAACTTATATGTTGTTTAGAAAATCTGCCTTGGCTGAATTATAAGGAAATGAGAGAGCCAGTTATGTTTTGTAGAAGATTCGAAAATAATAACATAGTGCATATATGCTCCTAATTTTTGCTACCAGAGAGTTTTTTATGGATTTATGTCCAGTTCCAATTTAGCTTTCCTTCACAGGAGTGATTTTAGTTAAATAACATAAACAAATACATACATCTCAAATTTTTTGGCTGTTTTCAACCAAAATAAAGATTTTCTTTTAACGAACGAACGTGTTAACAATCTATTTTCTCCTACTAGAAGGCTGGTTGGCAAGCATCCTGGCCAATTGCCGAGATATTATGAACTGGTGGTCCAACGTCTTTCTCCGTTAGCCCAATCGCTGCTAGGATAAAAGTACATATTTGGATAACTAGATACTTATTGTTACTAGATGACCAGTTCTCCTTTGTCTTGTGGTACCCAAATTCTCATTCATTCGTCTCGGTTGCCATCCTTGAGAAGTTTCTCGTTTCGATTCGTTCTGAGTTAGATTCCAAGTGGACCAGTTAATTTGGCGATCAACAAAGACATCTTTTTGGCTGTCTCAAACGATGACGTACAATGCTCTTGGAAACCTCCAGTGCTCACCTCGTCTAATTGTCATTTTTCTCCCAATATGTGAGCAACCCACGATGTTTATTCCATGCCACATTTTGCCAGGTCTTGTCATGAAATTCGTTTGAGGTTGAAGTTATAGAGCCCATTTACCTCAAAAGTTATATGCGCTGTGCGCTATGCTTTCGTAATTGGAAGTGCCAGCCCAGGATTCCACTGTGAACATCGAGTTGGAAGAACTGTTGTGTCAGAAAGATAGCGCACAAGTTGGTTGGGCCTCCTTCAAAGATCCTAGCTCTCTGCCTTCTGTTAAGCTTCTTCTTCACGTCGTGATCCATGTTTACAGAACGTTCCGAATACACATATAGTAAAGTTTTCTCTATTGAAGTTCCATCCAAAAATATTTGTCCTTTTTTGCACCACGCTATGAACTGCCTGTCATTCCTACCAACTCACAATTCTCTCCCTTTCGTACTTTGCTGTACTCACCCTGCACCTCTCCTTGCATTTTAAGAAGAGGGAATTGTCGTGGGCGAATATAAGAAGAGGACAGTATCGTCGATTTAAAAAAAATATGTCGGGAAAGAGCTGCCCATTCGCGCAGTCATTTTCCGTCCCAATCAAGTGGTTGCATACACTATTACAATAACGCGCTAAGCAGCTTTGGCGATATGGTATCTATATCTTACTGCTTTTGTTTTTGGCTAGTGATTCACTGTTCAGAATGCTGTCTCATCGCGGCGTACGCGA